CTTACAACTACAAATTGCTCTCCAGGAAAAGCTACTTGCATCTTACAAGATTACTTTTTCTCATTAACATCCTTTCTGTTATTTCATTTCTTCGCTGTTCAGTGTGCTCTTTTAATGTATTCAGTGCTGACATCTGTTGTCGCTTCTGCTCAGCCTGCTATTTGCTTTGCTAACTAAAGCATAAATAGCTTCTGAATTTTTTTTTCAGTGCTGGGAAGAATGGATATAATATCAATGGTACACAAGTATGCCTTCCCAGTGGACCACAAATTAAGGCTCATTGTGACACACTGATTTGCTTTAGCCCAGATATTTCCTAGCAGAAATGCTGGAGACAGTTTTTAGATGTCTCATCTGTTTGGACAGTTCACATGCACAGGGGGGAAAAAAAGCAGAATAACACCTAACATTAAGACAATGCAAGTTCTCTTTCTATCTTGTGTCACGCACTACTGGGAAGGCGCCTATCATGTGTTGTGCCAGCCAATGGGGACTGGGAGACAGAGCCGTGGAGGGGCAGGGGAGAGCAAAGTAAGGTGGTCAATCAGATAGAACCTGCCTTTGGGAGGAACTTCAATCACCCGGAGAAACCACAGAGAAACCCTGCAAGAACATGCAGACTCCACACAGAAGGTGCACGCCATGGAATCCAACTTTGGGCCTACAAGCTGTGATGCAGCAGCCCTAACCACTCCACCACACCAGTGTGCCTCCCATGACAAAGTAGCAATAAGAGAAAAGTTGAATAACAACTTTTTACAGATGCTTTAGATGACTACGGTAGTTAACCCTGGTACACAGCCACCATCCTGTGTGCTCTCTTGGTACCTCTGAATTGTCTGTGGAGCTAAAGACTAGGAGAGACTGGTGAAATGATACCATTATTGAACTGAGTAACTCAGAACTAGGTGAATGAAAACCAGGAGCTTTCAGTTCTATACCATAGAAGAGAAAGGCAACCAGATCTCCGCCCTGAATCAAAACCCAAATGAGGAACACAATATTGTCTTAGAACAAGGGTGCATAACTCAAGTCCTAGAGATCTAGAGCTTTTCATCCCACTCGAAACTAGACTGATCTAATTGTAGTTTCAAATGACTTTCTTCAGTTCCACAGTAAAGCAGTCCTTCCTTAGAAGATATAGAATTCCTGCCCTTATGCTCACTCTCAGCTCGTTTTATTTGCCTAGGATGTCAGCTGATTAAGGAGATATTTTGTTATCTGCAGGTTCAATAGGGACAGACGCCCTACTGTAAGTTACTCTATACAAGCGACTGTCAAAGCATAGACTACACCCCAGTCTCTGTTAACTGTTTAGGATAAAATCATCTGCTCAGCGTCCGATTCATATTTTATTTCGACAGACAAAGCAGTTTCTGATGCTTGTTGCTCAAAAGCAAGCAATATTCTTAGTTGGTAAGACAAACAATAAACGCATCATGCCCAGCTAACTCAAATGCTTCACCAAATAGCATCAGATCACACTCGCACTGGTATGGATTGCTGGTTGCTACTGAAATTCTAATTGCAATACTTCAGTGTATTAATGTGACTATCCATCCATTTTCTAACCACTTTATCCCTTACAGGGTCACTGGGGAGCTGGACAAGGGTTGCAAGGCAGGATACATGCAAGATGGGACACCAGCCCATCGCAGGGCACACACAGATGCAAACACGTACTGTACAAACTCGTATCAGGGCCAATCTTCCCCGAAAAACTGAAAAGGTAAATTAACCTACCAGCACGTCTTTGGGCTGTGGGAGGAAACTGGAGCACCTGGAGGAAACCCACAGGGAGAACATGCAAACTCCACACGGAATTGAGGCGCAGGGCTCTAACGCTGCAAGGAAGCAATGCTAACCACTGCTCCACTGTCGGTGTACCGTGAATATGTACTTTACAAATCCAAGCCATTGTTCACAGGTTTTTCGCTACCAGAAAAATCAGTATTCCAAATGCATGCTGTAGCATTTTTAGCATCTGCATTTTGAAACTTAAGAAGGTAGGAATTTCTCATCTGGAGTAGAACAGAAGCTAATTGCAACGCCATGCAGAATTTCACGATCACAACCTGGGTGTTTTTCAGCATTCTCCAAAAAAGCAGGCTTGGGTAAGGAACTCGGAAGCGAGTGGGTTCTCTGGATCTAGGATACAACAGAAAGGTGTCAGAAACTCCTGAGACCCCCCCACTTCGAGAGCATGAGTATTTCATAACGTAAGCATTAATGAAATTTAGCTAAGGGTAAGATGTTTCACTGGTATCAGTCTAAGTGGGGATCAACAAGCTCTTATTAAGCTAAATGCCTTTCAAGGAAAAGATGACTTAACCAAAAGTGGAATCAGTTTAATCCCCCCACAAGCCATCGATTATTAAAAAAAAAGGCATCGGGTTTACACTTCACAGCAATATGGTACTCGTTGTCTGGTTGACCGCTAAATACCAACCGATTCTTTTGATTGCCGAAAGATCGCTGAACTGAGCTGCTTATTTTCAACTCACGGTGTTGGGCTTGTTGTTCATTTTGTGCGTCATTATATCCTTCCAGACCGGCCTCTGAAACGATTTAGGGAAAGCGGCTGTCGTTGTTCTGTAATGCCACCGAATAAACGAGCATTGTGGGGTTTTTTTATATAATTTTGCGTTACAAACTCTCGTCGCACGCATTAGAAGCGCTGATAGAGACAGCTGCGTTGCTTCAAAGCCAGGGTGGTGTACCTTCAGATGCGCAAGACTTGATCTGAATCAGCTGTACCTGTCTCATTCATAATTTCCGGACATTAATTAGGTCATCTCGCGGTACACGGTGCGTCTAAAAAGTATTATCTGGGCCGTTCCTGTCCATATAGAACAAGGACACCTCTGCGTGTTTAAAAAAACAACCAGAGCAGGCTAACAGCTGAAGCACACACAGTTACAGTATAAGCGCAGTGAAGCCTGACAACCACACAAGTAAAAAATAAACATTTTAATATTCGGAGTTGCGAAATTTCATAGTAAACATGCATGCATAAATGGGTATTAAATTTTAATTTGACCGTTTCTTCCAGCGCTGTTTCAAGTACATCGTTTACAATAGCTTGAAAGACAAGCATTGCGTCCCAGATATACTGTAGGGACAGGTAGGCATGTACAGGTATGAGATTGCTACTGTACGTGTATAATATTTACAGGTGTTTTTTACTTATTAAATTTACTCTAAACGTTAAAGCTGTAAAGACGTGCTGCTTGATAGTCTATGTAAATAGTGTTAGAATATGGTTGGACGTACGCTGATGTTTTATATAATACAAAATAAATAGGTATCCTCAATAAAAAATGCCTAAGTACAGCATCTGACACGTCTTTGCTGGGAATTATTTTTGTCGCTGCCTCTCCATACGAACTGATCATCAGTAAGCTTCCAACAGTGGTAGAGATCAAGGAAATCAGACCACTTTAATATCCTTCCCGAATGAAGGGTTTTCCTTAGGAGCGCGTTGCTACCACTGAATGCCCTTATAATGCCCCTGAATTGAACACACAGCTCCGATGCTGCAATCCACTCTTCCCCTGTGATTTTTTTTTTAATGTCATTGGAGAGACGAGAACATCCTTGACACGCCAACCGAGCCCGGCCCCGCCCAGTGTGGCGGCAGGAACCAATAGAAACAAAGGTCTTGCCGAACTGTCAGGCACACGCGGCCAATCAGCTGCGCGAAAAAGCGAAACGCGCTCTTGTGAAGTTCGGTTGTAGAAGATAAAAAAAAAAAGCCCTCCCCCTACCTTGCAGTTAAGTCGGAAAAAAAATCTCACGATTACCACAAAACATTGCAATGCACCAATATATTAGCTAAAGCATAGGAGAGATGGAAGTAGAGAGAGGGGGTGGAGACAGAGGGAGGAGGAGGAGGAGGAGGAGGGGGTACATACGGCAGGTGTATAACCTTGTCCCCTGCTTTCCCTCATCTGAATAATATGCCCTTACAGGCAACCTTCATTGAATTGTTCACCTCACACCCCCCTTCTTCACCACCTACACACACGCAGGCAGTGAACAAAAATCACCCCAGCACCCCTCAGCCCGCACCTATACTGACTTTGCTCAGATTTTAGGTTATTGCAGGCATCCCAGAAAGTATGCCGAGTCACATGCTCTGCTTTTTAAATTTCGCGACTCTATACCGTGTTTAGAGATGTAACGTGCCCGAAAGAAAATTCGTTTATATCCTGAACGACGCGCTAGCTTCACCGCATATACAAAACGCACAGCCTAGTTAAGTTCCAAAAGCCGTGAAATGAATAATTCAACCCCATGTTACGCCAAAGCCCAGTCGGTGTTTTGCCGGTCATCGGCGCAGTCTTTTCCTGCACAAGGTTACCGGTGTCTGCACCGCTTCACAGCCAAATCACATCGCATACATCCATACTTAAAACCGCCTGCCTTTAAGAGATCAAAGCAAAGCGATTTCCACTGCACATCCTGCCTTAAAATAACGAATACATCACAAATAAGGAATAAATACACGCATGGCACATTCAGCACGACAGAGCCGGGTTTTCATGGAGTCTGACTCTCCATCCATCAAAAGTATCAGATTAATAAAACGGGAACTATGGGGACTGCGACCCAAAAACATGTTCGCAAAATTGAATTAAATCATACAAGTAAGAATATGAATTAAAATGAATGCCATTTTCCAGTTGTTATTAATTATTATTATTAATATTGGTTATATTTGAGTATTTATTCTTGTTTCAGTGGCTGTCATTTTGTTCGTAAAATTTCGTGTTTAATTCTGCACCAATGCAGGTCTTAAGGTAGGCGTTCTGGTGCTGCTCCCGTTAATCGTAATAATGATCTAATGTAAAAGGGATTTATTTGTTTTAAACGTACAGGTCTCGATTTTCGCAATGAGTATGTACATGTATGCATGTATATCTGTGCGTATAAATATGTGCAAGAAAGCATTTGAAAAAAAATCATAAAATACCAGCTGTGTATTGATATAAACTTACCAGGCCATGATCCAAGGACGGGAATGGGATGGAAAAAAGGAAGAAATTCCCAATTAAAAAATAAAATAAAATAAAGGCAAGCTAATAGAAAAGATGGCGATCGTCTTGATTTAATGCAAAAAAAGAGAAAATGTACATATAGCCTGAAATTGCCTTTTGATTAAGGTTACGTAGAGAGGCAGTATTCTGACTGTATTTTTTCCCCTTTAAAAATAAATAGCTTAACAGAAGTACCGCAGCTGATGCGGTTATCTACATGCTGTTCGGATGTAGCCAGACCAGCTCTGCGCTTTGGTCCTCCTGTAAGGAAGCAACATCCGAGAGGGATGCGCGGGGGGGGACAGCGCTCGACACCTCCCCCCGAAAACCCCAGCAGGAACCCTGCACCCCTCCGTGACTCCGCAGCGCGTCACCGGAGACCAAGCCGGGCGGATATATTTAGAAGAGCGAGCCGGGATGAATTTAGGAGAGAAGGGGGAAAGGACGCGGGGTTTTAGAGACGCCCGGGTACTTGGTCCATTCCCGACCTTAGCTTCATCACTTTTTTCAGTGTATGAGCAGTGCAACTGTCATTAAAAATACCTGCAATACCCTGTTCTCCAAAGCGAGGGTACAGAAGAGACGGTTTCGCACGCAATGTAGTTTATGCTGGCTTTCATCGGCACAGAACACGTCTTTGACTGAAACCCAGGGGTGTTGTGCAAATATACTGTAGATACTATTGGATTATTTACAGTTCAAATTATTTGTCTTGATTTATCCCCCCCCAAAAAAACGGTTATTTTATCCGTCTTGCTCTTACAGATAATAGTGCAGGCTGTTTGTTAATGCTTTACAGAGCGAGGAGATGTGTGGATAAATAATTATTTTGTATAACATTTTTAATTATTTAAAAGATTGCTCCCAAACTGTCGGATAGAATCCGCTCACATCAAAGCGGAATTTTAATTGTGACCCTTCCCACGTTTCTAAAGCGCAACGGAGAATGGAGCCATCAGAACGGGTGTTTTTTTTAAAAAAATAAGCGTGAAAACCTGTTTTATTTTTTCTCGACGGAGCTGCACCAAAGCGGGGCGCAGTACTTCATCGAATGGACCATCAAGTTCAAATAAAGGTCTCGCTGGCAGCAGAGAAGGCGCCCGCGACTAGTATTCGCAATGTTACAGTACGTCTGCTCTTCTTCACCTCGTTAGTGGTATAATGTACGCCTGGGGATAAGACTGGTAAAAACATCATCATCATCATCGCCAGAAGAAAAACATGAAAATGATATAACGATTAAAGTCGTCCTCATATTTTTTTAAGTTTATAAGAACACAAACAAGTAAACTGGAAAACAACCTGTCTTCAAAACGGGGAAAACGAAATATGATCAAATAACCATGTTTATTTTTTTGACAATGGTTTCAGCAAAGCACAATATTTAGCTGGTTGTAACATAAAAACGGCTGCACCTATCCCAACACAAATGACAACTAGGCGTGGTCACAGAGTAAAGAAAGCCACTTCAACCTGTTAAAATGGTGAAAAGCTGTTGTGCTTGGCTGCAGCTGTTCCAAAAAACCCTTCTCCTGATTTTCAGAAAGGGAGTAAGCCTTAAGAGTGTTGTGTCTGTTGAATGATAAAGACAATTTGGCCCTTATTTTCTCCTTGGGCCAAGTGCCCATCTCATGTCTTTACCATGAATCAGACAATTAGTCCACTGTGAATAATAAGAACCAGAGACCTTCGCTACATGAATTGGTAGGTAACATTTGAAACAGAACAGTTCCCAGAAACATAAAAACAGTGGTTTGTGTCCAAGGGTGTAGATACAGTATGCCTTAAATCAAGGGAGTATCATAGGGGTTCCTGGAATAATTACAGCCCCTAGAGAAACTGCAGGACCTAATTCTTTTACAGATGACTGGTTGGTATGGCAGTGGTATATGGGATTAGCCATACAGAGAGGTCTGGTGGTTCTGTCACAAGATTTATGAGGGTAGATCTTAAAACATTATGTCCTAACGAGGAAGGCTAAGGGCAGCATGGTGGTACAGGAGTTAGCATTTTCTGCCTCGCAGTGCTGGGGCCCTGGGTTGATTTGCAGACCTGAGGTGCTGTCTGTGTGGAGTTTGCATGTTCCCCGCAAGTTCTTGTGGGTTTCCACCAGGTGTTCCAGTTTCCTCCCCCAAAGATATGGTGGCAGGTTAACTTGGCTTCTGGGGAAACTGGCCTGGAGGAGAATGTCAGTGTGTTTGTGTCCGATACATCCTGTGATAAACTGGCATCCCACCCAGGGTGGACCCTGCCTTGTGCCCATTTCTTGCCAGGTTTGGCTCCAGCTCCCCTGCAACCCTGATTTGGAAGAAGCAAGAAAATGGATGGAAGGAAAGAAGGCTCAGTAGATGAACCTTGGAACACTTCATAAAAGAGTTTCTGGAAACCCCTCTGAGAGGTGTTATAAGAAATGACCCGTTTGAGCCCCTGAATAAACAGAATGGCTGCACTGAGAATTAAGGTTGGCTGTGTGACTGAACAGAGGTCTGCTTGTACACTGCCCAGTCTTTTTCTTGCCTTGTAGTAGCATATTGTGACCAGAGAAAGGGAAAGCTCTGTTCTACAGCGTCGACATTCCGATATTTGCAGCAGGAATTTTCTGTCGCAACAGCTAGGAATGCAAGTACTTCAGATCACCCCTGGCTGTGGAGCTATGAAACTGATAACTTTACCACTATTTTTCAGACATGAAGTAAAGGCCATTGCTCAGAGTAATGGCTTTTAGACAGTGCATCATGTACAGAAATGCAGACAAACAGGCCCTGTAATCACAGTCTTTTAGTAGCATTCTTCATACTGCATGGCCTTTCCTGTTAATTCATTTTGAAGTTGTTTTACATTGTGTTGCATGTGTGCTTTGCAGGATTTTTGATTTGCAGGATTCTTTTGTTTTTCAGAAAGTTTGCTGAAACAGAGATTCTGAATAGAGCATTGCCAGAAGTAGGACGCTAATGTCCCACACAACCCTAAAAAATAAACCTTTTTTTTTCTGGAATTGCTGTTCATTCATTTGGACAATGTCTCCATCAAAGGCAATTTAAATCTAGAGTTTCAATTGAGGAGTGAGGTTTTGAAAATGTTTTTGCTGCAACTGTTTTTGGACATCAAATTGTGATGTGCACTAATAAGACTTCATGTAGAGTATTGTGTACTGTATCTGTATAGAAAAGACACTGCTGCTGTAGAATCAAGAGCAAGCAGATAAAGTGCTTAAAGAAGTCCTACACTTTTCCTGAAAAGTCCTGACAGGCGTAAGTAGCTGTATCTTTTTAATCCTGAATAGTGAAGATTATGAGGGGACCTGATCCAAATACTCAAAATCCTAAAAAGCACCAACAGTGTACTTCTGGAGAATACACAGTGACACAGAGAACAGGAGGCACTTCTTTACACAAAGGGTTGTTGTAGTATTGAACATGTTACCCATGCATGTTGTTGAACTGATACCTTTGCATCTTTCAAGAAACAGCTGGATGACATAGCACCTAATTGATTAAAGTAACAACCAAAAGGTCTAGATAGATGAATGGCCTCCTGTCATTTATAACCATTCTTGTGTTCTTATGCAATTTACAGTTAAAAACTTTAATTGCATTATATATAATGGTGGAACACTGCAAACTCTCAAGTAACAGTAAGTAGGTTACATAGTGCTGCAATAAGTGGAGCATACCACATAAACCCAATGCAATGTGTCTCACAGCAAAGTTAAAATACAGTGCAAGGTACAATGCAGGCTACAGCAGCAAAAAGGGCAAAATTACAATACTTTATGCTTGGACAGGGAAACAAGGCAAATATACATCATACAGAGCTAGAAAAGGGTGCCTGAGACCTGCTAACTGGTGCTGGTGGACGCAGTTCATATTCAACAGAACAAAGTCGTATAAGATTCACAACAAGATTCATTTCTGTCATTATTCTCTAATTATCGTTCTTGGCAAAAGATTATATTAAAACACAGAATTATTCTCAACACCTAAAATACAACCTGAATAAGGGAAGGCGTGAAATATGATGATGATTAGAATTAGTTAACTGTGAGGTACTGGCACCTAGCTGGGTGCAATTGTGTTTGTGAGTTTCTTGTGTGCAGCTGGTTACGATGGATGCCCTTGTTCTTCCAATGAAAACTTCTATAAGAAGAGGTCTTTTTCATTTAGAAAGATAGCTTCTGAACGTGATTCTCCCAGCCCAGCTACTCAGTCTGTTAGTGAAGCAAAGTAGCCTCCATTGTCTTAGAGCTCTTTGCTCAAGCAGTATAGATCTTGACTCCAGATTCCAGATTTATTACATTTATGTTACTATATTACTTTTCCAAGCTCAGCTTTAAGAGTATGCTATTTAAAAGTAAAGTTTGTTTATTGCTTGCCTTGTTTCTATCTTAAAACAACATAATGTTTACTTTCCTTGAAAGTTAAGATAGATGACAGAAAACTGAGTTAAGGGATGTTGTGAAAAGGAGCTAACATCTAGGTGTGGATGTGCAGATAGCATTACAATAGAAAGACTGGCAAGGAGAGAGCGAATGAAAGAGCGATACAGTATATACAGCACAGAGGCAGAAAGCTACATTTCACTGAAAGGCAAATGAAATGTGGAGTGACAAATGTTCTTACACGTGAAATTTCAAGGCCATGTCATGCAAGCGTGGCGCTGACGTCCAATTTGGATGGCTGAAGAGCCAAAGACGCAGTGTATCCCTGAGAGCCGGAAAGATATTTAGTATGTGCAAGGCAAAGGGAATTCTGAGCCCGAGCACCCCCTGTAAAATCCTGAACAAGCTGATTAATTATTGAAGCTGCCACAGAGAACGCTTGGCTTGCGTTGAAGCATCTTCAAACACGCCTCTAGCAGCCTTGGGATGTAAGATAAGCAATGTTAGTAAATTAGAGATTAGTCAGGGTTATTTTGGAAAAGTTCTTCTCATCTGAAAGCAAAGTTGGAGTGGGATCCGCCCATTTTTAATGGATCTGCTTGAAAATTAGGTTTTAGCACATAATATTTTCCAGAATATTGGAAATAAAAGTATCATGCTTTGCGTGCCTTATGCATAATGTTCCGTCTTTACCTTGTGTATTATCTGGCTAGATCCCTTCCTCCTTTTCTGACAACAGGTTATTTGAGGTTATTTGACTTATATCTGAACATCTTTGCTGGACACTTTTAATGACAAGTCATGTCATTGTAGATAATGAGTGCCCAACATCTGATGCTTAGAGGTGTCAATGCTTTTTGTGTTCACCCTGAGTTCTTCCTGTAGC